TTCACTTGAAAGACTGAGGTAAGCTCAGCAGCCTTACCATATGTTCACATAGACACATACCCATGCAACATGTCCGAAGGGGCTCCAAAAAGTTTGTGGAGAAATGGAATTAAAAGAGAATGAAATTATTCTGCAAAATGTTTAAATCCCCTTCGGGTAAAAAGGTTGTTTCTAAGATATCATTGGGCCATTCTGACTCACCGAGACCCCACGTGCAAGAAAGAAGAATGCCCCCCACGGTTTCCTTTGTATGTTCTTAGACATTTGTTAGACAGCGCGGACTGTCAGGAGAATGACCGGGTCTGCTGTGGGAGAAGATTGGCTAGGTTCCTCCATGGAAGTGAGGCCGGCAAGACTTCGTTCATCTCTCCTGTTCGCGACTTCACTCTCGAGAAGGACATCGTTCTTTTTCTTTTTAGGGACACATACAACTCTTATCACAATCCATACATACATCAATTGTGTAAAGCACATTTGTACATTCATTTTCCTCATCACTCTCAAAACATTTGCTCACCATGTAAGCCCCTGGCATCAGCTCCTCGTTTTTCCCCTCCCTCCCCGCTCCCCCCTACCTCATGAACCCTCGATAATTTATAAATTATTATTTTGTGATATCTTACACTTTCTGATGTCTCCTCACCCACTTTTCTGTTGTCTCTCCCCCAGGGAGGGGGTTCTATGTAGATCCTTGTAATCGATTCCCCCTTTCCAACCCACCCTCCTTCCACCCTCCCAGTATCGCCACTCCCACCACTGGTCCTGAAGGGATCATCTGGCCTGGATTCCCTGTGTTTCCAGTTCCTATCTGTACCAGTGTACACCAGACTTGTAAGGTAGAATTGGGATCATGATAGTGGGGAAGTGGGGGGAGGGGGGAGGAAGCAGGAAGCATTTGGGAACTAGAGGAAAGTTGTGTGCTTCATCGTTGCTACACTGCACCCTGACTGGCTCGTCTCCTCCCCACGACCCTTCCGCAAGAGAAGCACATCATTCTTGGTAAAGTGGGGGGGGGCAATATGACAAACAGGTGGGACACCCAGTGAATTGGATTGATGCGGTGGTTGCCACAACGGGCTCAAACTTTGCGATTAGTGTGAAGACAGCTCAGGACTGGGCAGCATTTCATCCTGTTCTGCTGAACAGGGCGGTCACTATGAGTCAGAATTGATCCAGAACCCTTCCTACCAAATCTGTGGGAGCGGAGCACCAGGTGTTTCTCCTGTGGAACCATTGAGTGGGTTCAAATTGCCATCCTTTCAGTCAGTCAGCAGCCAAGTGCGTCACCACTGCTCCACCATATGCAATGAGCGTGGGGAGAATTGCTGGCCTTTTAGCGAACATTGTGCCTCAATTCAGAAAAGGAAACGGATGGACATTTTCATTGGTGGACCTTGCTTCTGACCAAAGTGGGCCCTGGTACCATCCATTTAACTATTTTCTCTGAAAGCACTCCTCTCTGTTGAAACTCTCTGTATTTTAATCTCTGTAATCATGGAAATAGAGGTTTTGAAAAGGCACACTAAAAAAATAGTCATACCAAAGAAGCAAGAACCGGTTTGAACTCTGATCTATTTTGATAAATCCACCATGAAACAGGAAGTGACATTGAAAGCTAGCTCAATTAGGTGCAGATATATGCTAGCTTGACTGATGGAGGGGAGTTATCAGAAATGATAAGTTCACAAGAGAACCGATCACAAGGAATAATAAATATCTGTCAATGTCAATGGACTTCTTGTCCACCTCAACCCTAAAGAACCCCTTACAAATTTGGCTTATTTCCCAAATATTTTTGGAGGGGAGGCATTTAAACACTGGATCTGAGGGCTATCACTAAACAGGCCAATGTGGCTGCAACTATAATAAAATTTGCTTGTTGAGTAAGGAGATGAGTGTGGGTCTCTGAGTCACTTGAGAATCGTTTCATTTTCTTGGGATTAAAAATGACAGTTGTATTGAGAAACTACCAAGTCAAACCCTTCATCTTTTTCCCCCTCCACTGAGTAAGCCTCCGTGTAAATCCCAGAGGTCAGAGGGAGTCTGACTCAGGGCTCCAACACATTACCCTCCGTGCAGAAGTGAAGTGAACCCAGCAAAATGATACTAAGATAAGGGGACCAGATGTTAACATTGGTAAAGCGGGACACCATTGATAGAACTCATATCCTGGCGAAATAGCCACATGGCAGCCGAAAACCGTATACCCTAGGTTGTCGTGCATTCTTTCAAAAAATCGGGACCTTTTAAAAACGCTGCGGGACATGGGAAAAATTGTTAAAAATCAGGACTGTCCAGCCAAAAGCGGGACATCTGGTCACCTTATGCTAAGGGGAACCTGGAGTCTGATGACTTTGTAGATCCCCAGCATTTTGGACCTCATTGAGTCAAACCGTCTTCAGGATTGTGCTGCTGGCGCTGCCCTTTACGGACTGTATTACTCTATGTACAAAGATTTGCTCCAAGAATCTTACATACTTAATTCATGTAATCCTTACAGTGGTACTGATTGATTCTCTCATGATCAGTTTGTACCTACAGTTGAGGAAACAGGCACAGAAATTTACCAAAGGTCGACTAATTGGTGGCAGATGATTGGAATGAAGCCCAACCCTAGAGTTGTGCCCTTAATCACCACGCTATTGGCAGCTTTGCCCTAGGATCATGGTTATGGATTGGATTGTGTCTTCCCAAAGTATCAGTTGGAAGTCCTAACCCCAGTACCAGTCGTTGGAACCCTGGTGGTGCTGTGGGTAAGTATTGGGCTGCTAAGTGCAAGGTCAACTGTTCAACCCACCATCTTCCACCACAGCATCATTAGTTCAAACCCACCAGCTTCTCCGAGGGAGAAAGGTGAAGCCATCTGCTCTTATAAAGATGATATCGGACCACCGTGCACCAAAATGACTTTATGGCAAAACTGAAAACCATGCTTCCTCTCATCGATTCACTTCCAAAGCTGAGTGACCCCGTAGAATAAGCTAGAACTGCCCCAGTGGGTGGCTGAGGCTGTAACTCTTTCAGGAAACAGTAAGCCTCATGTCCCCGTTGGAGCAGCTGGTTGGTTTGAACCACAAACCTGTGGTGAACAATGTACAACTTACAAATCACTGAAGCATTTACTGTAGACGTAGAGGAAATTTAGAGACTCTATGTGTCTCACCTGCTGTTTGAAACTACCATGGTTTCAAAGGCAACATCTCCAAACATTGCTTGTATCATGGCCATTCAAGATGGCTTTTCTCTCTGAATTCTTCAGAGTGAACATTTAACCTTGGAAAAATTAAGAAACTCAGTTCTCAAGACAGCTAGTAGTTCTTTCTGCAATTTTTGGGACATGGAGAAGCTCTGTCTGGTACAGTTATATTGCGTTTGTGTACATGAGTGTGTGTCCCAAAGGAAAAAATTAAATAAGTACAAGAGATCCTAAAGCAAATACTCCAACACTCAGTTTCTCAAGTACACAGTATTAGTAGTGTGTTTTTGCTGGAGATCTTTCTTAAGAAAAAGACAAGTAAAATGAAAACACTTTTCTAATCCCATCTCCCTCGTCATGGATCAAGGTCATACTTTCATAGCTGCTGCCTCCACTGTCTAGAAAAAAGATAATGTTGTTTTGCTTATTTCTCAGAATTGCACTAATCATAGAATTCTGCATGTAATCATTGGCATCAGTATTTTCCTCTCAACATCGCTTTGCGATGCACCCAACGTGGCTCATGGAGATGTAAATGAGTCCTTTCCACTGCTGTCTGCTGTCATCGTATAGCATATAGAATGATGACTGCTTCCAGTTTAAGATATTAAAAATACTATAATATAGTTTTAAGCAGATTGGAAAAGGCATTCACACTGTAGACATAAAAGTGGAATTCTTCCTGGGTTATGTGTCCAGTTAACTGTTAGCAGGTGGTATCAAGTCAACGTCAACTCCTAGTGACCTCCTGAGACCACGTGGCATGGCCCTCCGGCTTGTCCAGGCTGTCAGCTGTATGGGGCAGATTGTTAGGTCTTTATCCTGCTGTACGTATGGCGAGATTATGTGTGTAGCCACACACGCGTAACATGGTTTCTGATTTCTAAACTGTCATACTAAATTGGTTATCATTCTACTAAAATAAACTTAATATTTTTATCATCAATAAAACTGAAAATCAGGATTGTTCCCATCAACTGGTGGGCTGATTTGTAAAGATGCAGAAGAAGCCTCCTTTAGGCCAGTGCTGCTCTTCTCTGCCATCATATATCACTTGCGCCGACTTGAGGGTGTCTTCTCTTTTCCCAGTGTCCTTAGCAAATGAAAATGTCTCCAGGATGGACAAGGAGGAGTTACCCTTGCAGCAAAGAGGCCCAGGAGAGAGAGAGGTCCTTTGGTAACATGGTCAAGAATAGGCTATATGGATGAGGTGCAGTGAGGAGGTTGAGGGTTTTTAAAAGGTGAGAGAACACCGAAAAAACCAAACAACAACAACAAAATGTGATCTTTACAAGGTATATAGTTCAAAGTCTTGCAACATGACTTGTTAAACTCCATCACCCAGATGGCACACACCCCTGGAGAAATGAGTGGTACTCCCTCCCTGTGAACATTTAAAGGCACTTCATGTAGGAGAGTTAGTTGATTCATTCTTGAACCAAGAAGGAAGTCAAAAATAAACCTCAAACCTTTCCATATTCACCTTACCAGCTGATCGCAATGCCTTGGCAACATCGGCACTATAATTGTATGTGGCACACAGTCACAGAAATGAGTCCCCAACATTTCTAGACTGTTCTCCTACTCCCCCACCCCCTCTGAGAATTTTGTAGCCTGACTGCTAAAGTTTACTTGTTTTTAATCTCTTAAAACCATCCCGCTCTGGCCATTGAAGCAGGCTTCTCTCCAGAGGGTCACTCTGAGTAGAAATCGACTCAGCAGTGTGAATGACTGAGTTTCGCTCAGCCTAGATGGCTTAGCTTTATGCTAATTTCAACTCTTCCTGCGTTCCCCTGTAGCTGATTGGACACTGCAGTAGCTGAAATGAGAAAACGGCAGCAGTCACAAAATGAAGACACACCGGCCGTGGCTCAAGGCCCTGGAAACCAGCGACCCAACAACACGTGCTGCTTCTGCTGGTGCTGTTGCTGCAGCTGCTCTTGGTATGTCTAATTACCTGTCCGATAAGAATAGCAAGAATGAATGGCAAGAATGAATGTGCCCATTGCTTTCTGGGGTTCTAGAAACTTCTCCACATGCCATGTTTTTTCCTTCCAAGTAGGCATTCCTGAAGACTGTCGTTGGTCCCTTGTAAAATTTTGGTCTCAAGTAATTCTGTTTTCATAAAGGATCTTCTGGACAAGCAAAATTTTACACAAGCAAAATATAATATGTCCTCAGAATCTACATGTGAAAGAATACATATTTTTTATTCTTCTCCACCCGTAGATGAACATAAGATTACAGTTACATATTTGTCTACCAGGGAGCAATATTGTCTCCACTGTTAGCGAATGTGCAACTGCATAAAGATCCATTCTAGAGTGTACTTTTGTCAGGATTGGCTATTTGATAGCTGTCAATCATATGGTTTTGCACAGCTAGATAGTTAAGGGTTGGAGAGGCAAGCTCAGACACAGATGCCCTGCCAATAGGATAAGAGGGACAAGTGTACCAACTAGTGTCCACAAACCCAGGCGGTCAAAGACTGTGCCTGGTCCGAAGGCCAAGCCAGTTAATGAAAAATGCTGAAATCAGAGCCAAAGAACCTGCCCACCGTTGTGATTGTGTCGCTCAAAGGCTGTGACACGGCGGAAACCCTGAGTCTCATGGATGGTTTTGCTTTCTTACCGGTAAACCTATGAGGAATAGACAAGGTCCTTCCTGTATGAAGGAAAGGTCAATTTTAAGGCACCTCAGAGAACCTGGCCCAGTTCCAAATTCCCACAATGCCTTGAACTAACGGCAGGGAGATCCCAGAGTGTCAAGATTCATGCAGAGGACATTCCTCGGGAGGATGTAAGACTTAATAGTCTTTTTCTTCCAAATGCAATGTTTTTGGTCTTTCAAGGTGGTGTAAAAGCTTTGGCGGCATAGTGGGTCACAACTTGAGTGGCTAACTGCATGATCAGCACTTCAAATCCACCAGCGACTCCAAGGCAGGAAGATAAGTGTTTCTACTCTCAGAAAGATTACAGTCTTCAACCCAACAGGGTGGTTCTGCTCAGCCCTAAAGGGTTGCTGTGAGTTGGCATCGACTCAATGACCCTGGGTCGTCTGTTTATTTTCATTCTGTTCTCATAAAGGATCTTCTGGACCAGCAATGTTCTTACTCTCTCTGACCAGCCTGAAAGGAAGGCCCAGAGACTTGAGGCATCATCTTGGCTATGGCCTCTGTCATTCTTGTGAGATGGTGGTCTCATCCTGTATCACTGTGGACAGAGTAGAAGATAAAAAGCATAATGCAATAACAGAATGTTCGATGCTGAGCAAACCAGCATTTCTAGAAAATGTCTACAAAATTCCAATTGCAGAAATCCAACAGATACTGTAGTACGCTGGCCGGTTTAAGGTGGTTCTGCGTAGTCTTCAACTGTGTGACCTTGAGCAAGTTCCTCAAACTCTGTGCTTCTCGGATTCCTCATCTGTCAGATGATGATCATGAGATTCCTTCTCTGATAAAATGAAATGAGAAATGTGAAAATGAAATGAGACCAAGACCCAAGAATATCTTAGAACAGTGCCTTTCCAACATGAGAGCAAGCTCAAAGGTGTTTCTAACAGGGGTCTAGCATATACACACGTGACTTATTCCAAGGAAAAAAGAAAAGTTTATGTCTCGGACGTCAGTAGAAAAGTTCAGTTACAACACGGGCTTCCAAGGAACCCATGTAAATTCAAGGCAGCAAGATCAGTTCTGAAGGTTGTGGCAATAGTTTTTTCTTTTATTTTTATTTCAAAGGAAAAATCTTGATAGATTTCTTCAAAAGACAGAGGCTTATCATGGTGATTTATCATAAAGTTAAAACCTGCATTGATGAGGAAAAGACCAGGATTCTTTTTTTTTTTTTTAACATTTTATTAGGGGCTCACACAACTGTTATCACAATCCATACACACATCAATTGCGTAAAGCGCATTTGTACATCATTCTCAAAACATTTTCTCTCCACTAAGACCAGGATTCTTACGTCAAGAATTGTTTTCCCATCAGGACCCTCTGCCGGCTTAGTCTTCATGGGTGGCAAGAGCTACCCTACAAAAATGTTATTGGGAAAACTTACCCACTTAACCCTACAGCACTGATCTTGTCCCTTAGAGTTTTTCTCGATCCCCCAAACTCAAAGATTTACAGGGGACATTTAAACAGTGAAAAGGAACACAATTTAAGCCCCTCAAGGACCCCAAACTGCTGTTTTGATGTGTAAGTGGAGGAGTATAGAATTCCTTGGGGGTGTGGTTAAGAGATGGAAACTCCTCCATCAAAAGTGTATAGAGCTAGAGGGAGGAGAGGTAGAGAAACAACAGCTTCACATTTTGATATTTTTATTTAACACAGCTTTTTATGATTTTGTAGCCATACTTTTTTTACCTACCCTGGTAGAAAGGGCTAACATTTAATACGGGTTAATTCCTTGGGCTATGGACTATTGGAAGAAAATCCCTTTAAAGAGAAGCTACCTTGAAATAATAAGATCAGTTTATTAATATAATAGAAAAATTACCTCAGAAAAGAATGCTATTTTATTTGAAATTATCTATAAAACATTGCAAATGCATTGCCCCCAGGGTTGAGAGCAGTATCCGTTTTCTCTGTGCATTGTACCATGTTCCAGTCATCCCTCTGCGATCATATTTAACTGCCAAAATGTACATCTAAATTGCTTCGAGATTAAAACGCGGATAGAGAATCCCGACACGTTGTCGTACTTCATCTGCAGCCGAACAAGTCGGAGTTCTGTGGTGCGGTGCGTGCATTGTTGGGCTCCAGTGTCTGGGTCCTCCTCAGCCACCCCTTAGGACCCTGGGTCTCCACCTTCCTCACTCCGCGACCCTTTCATACAGTTCCTCATGTGGTGGTGACGCCCCAACCATGACATTATTTTTGTTGTTACTTCATCACTTTTATTTAGCTACTGTTAAGAATCAGGCGACCCCTGTGAAAGGGCTGTTTGCCCCCCAAGGGGGTCGCGACCCACAGGTTGAGAACCACTGCCTTAGGAAAAAAAAGAGCCAATCTACTGTCATCAGATGGAGAGCCTCGGAAAAGCCAGGGAGAAGTTTTACTCTGCCCTGTAGGTTCACTCTGAGCCAGACTGGACTCGAGGGCAGTTGTATTTTGATGAAACAAATATTGAATAGACTTACTTTTATCTGCCCTATGGACAGTTCATAAAATGTACTTTTATTAATTTTTAAAGCCTCGTTAACTAACGAGGAGCCCTAGTGGCATCATGGGCTACACTTTGGACTGCTAACCACGAGGTCAGCAGTTCAAACACACCTGCCCCTCTGCGGGATACATCTGAGTCCTCTACCCCGGTGGCACTTACAGTCTCAGAAAGCCACAGGGGGTCTGCTCTGTCCTGGGTGGATGCTCTGAGTCAGAATCAACTCGATGGCAGCGCTTTTGGTTTTGGGTGTTTGAGCGTTTCTTAGCGTTGTTTTTGGGGGGCATTAATTAACAAGATATTCAATATTAGTTTATGAACATCAGATGCCACAGAACCTAGACTCTGCACTGAGATCAAAAGGCTTGGGAAACGGCCTTTCACCACTAGGGGGCACATATTTAGCTTTCGAATGTGGTGTGTTGCAGGAGTGGTCCATTAGTGTAGCGGGCCTTTGTCAGCAGTGCTTGGGGGGCCTCCCGTACGGCAGCCCGAGTCCGAGTCCAGGCAGTGCAGAGCACAGCACCTACTGGTGCCAGACCCCTCAAAACAAAATGCGCCCTCACTGCCATTGGGTTGATTCTGGCTCGGAGTGACCCTACAGGGCAGCATACAACCATCCCTGGGGGTTTCCAAGACGAACTCTCCACGGGAGTAGACAGTCCCAGCTTTCTCCCACAGCCGCACTGCTGGCCTGGAGGTGAGCAACCACCAGGGCCCCTTGCTCCTCGCTCTGCGGATGACGAGTGTTCGGGAAATCTAATGCAGACACTGCTCTTACAAAAAGAGGAAAGTAAAATGATCATCAGCTATAGGTTGCAACGACTTGCATTGCCGCAGATGAAAATGTTCTCTACACATGCATTTTAAAATGGCATTCTCTTTGTACTTGGGAGTTTCTGTGGGGAACCAATTAAGGCTGATTCGAATAAGAAGGTGAGCAGTATTTTTCACATTTCCCAGGCTTAGTTCAAAAAAAAGCGGAGCAAAAATAAACAACAAAAAATTCAATTTCGAGACAGAAATCTGTTAGGAGTGAAAATATGGCCTAATTGTCCTTTGTGAATACAAGCAGTTGTTGTGGGGCTGACTGCACATGCTCTTCAGGAAATGGTGCTAGAACATGTCTGTGTCGAGAATCAAATGTCGCTACCTTGTCAAGCTTCGACTGCACCAGTCGAAACAAGATATTTTTCACAAATTTGTTTTCTCATTCTTATTTCCTTGTGAACCCTTTCCCATTAAAAAAATTATGATTGTCTTTATAAAATTGCCTCTAATTGTTTTGAGGGATGAGAATACAAAATAAGAATGAAACTGCTGAATATTTCCAGTTTTGTTCAAAAACTAAAATGTTGGCAGATCTTTTACATTGACTTTTAAAACGAATGACCACTCCCTCTCTGACAAGGAACCAATTTTTTTTCTCCGAAATAGTCTCTTGCTATCTCTCTCTTCTCTCCAGTTCACTTCAAGAACAGCGGGATTAAGGGTACACCTGTTTTTTACCTGGCATACATCGTGTGTCCTGGACGCCTCAGCCTCGTCCAGAAATTCGCAGTCATCCCAGTCACAAGTCCGTCTGCACCTGGGAGCCCTGGTGATGTGGTGGCTATGTGTAGGGCTGCAATGCTCACGTCTGGCAGCATGAAACCAGCAGCCGCTCTGTGGGATGAAGCCTAGCCTGTCTATTCCCGTGAACAGTTACAGTCTCAGGAAACCCACAGCGGGTCTCCCTGAGTCAGAATTAACCCAATGGCTGTGAGTTTTCT